TTACTGCTCAATAAAAATAAAAAATATTTTTTGTCTTTTTATTATATTTCCTAGACTGCCCAAATGTCGTTCAAAACTACCCCCTTTTGTGGGGTAGTTTTTGACATTAAGTATAACTTGTTTGAATTAGCTTGGTTCTGCTTTTTTATTAAGAATTAATAACTAAAGAATAAAAGCTGTGGAATGTTTTTGAAAAAGTGTCTTAATTTGCCCTTTCTTCCCTAATTGTATTTTATGTTTATAAGAATAAGTCAAATAAGTTAAATGGCATGTTCTATATAACTTATACACCATTAAAAATAAAAACTTTTATTTTTATTTTTTATCAGCTTGATTTTATAAGTTAGATTAATAGAAAAACCTAAAAATTACGATTTTTACGTTTTTTGAAAGTTGATTAAGCTTGTCATTTTTTACTTTGGTTGCTAGAAATTTTATCGGAACTCATATTTTTACATATTTAACTTTTTCACGGGTTATTGAAATTGAACTTTTAAAAAAGCATACAAATCATTCCACCCTAATGGAAATACCTTATTATCCTAAAGTTGTGGAAAGCTGTTCTTTATGACGTAAATCACAAATATTTACAAGCACAGTCCAAAATGTGGCTTCTTGTCATATTTTCACAAGTACCTAACAATTCGTTTACTTAATACATTTTTACAGTAATGAATATGATTTTCTAAAACTATTTATGCTCATTTAATGTTAAATGAAGTTTTTCTTAAATTCAACATTTGGATTTAAAATAACACCATAAATTATATATTAGTATTAGTATATAATTATATATTAGTAAATTATATATTAGTATCTAATTTTTTTTTGATCAAACTTCTTTCAAAATTAAATAGTGAAGCTGGTAGCTAGAACATTTTTAAACCGTTGCACAATTGACCAGGTGGTGGATAAAACTTTTATAAAAAAAAGTTTATAATATTCAAATTCACACAATAAAAGATTTTATTTACGATAAAACGTGTGAAACGCTGTGAAACGTTATAAGACGTGTGAGTTTTATAACGTTTTATATGTAAAATTTTTATCTGTAGTAACAATAAACATTAATTTATAAAACTGTAAAATCGAAATTAGTTTATATATTTAATAATACTATTAAATATATAAACTAATTAAACTTTACAAAAAAAAGATAAAGTGTAAAGATCAGATTTTATAAATGCATTTATGAACTGGCTTTGAAATACCGTGGTAAGTTTACTACATCAAATTTATTTTGTACAAAATGCTCAGGGAATATAGTTTAGGAAAGAATCTGCTTGAACTGGTAAATGTAATGTTTCCTTTAAAATTATTGCCCCAGAATTTCCCTTTTGGATTTATTTGACATTTTAAAATAATAAGTTTTAAGTTGAATTACTATTTTTTATTAACACAAACAAATATAGACGATGTATTGTTTCCAATTTAATTCAACACATATTGTATTTTTTTTCAAATGGGTTTTTTTTTTTTCTTATAATTATATGAGTATTGGTGATATTTACGTAAATATGCGACATTTCTTATAATACTAATTTCTTATAATAAATCTTTTCTTCTAGTTTCTGTAGATATTAAATTAAAAGACTCTAAGCGCAAAAACTTAATAAAAGTATATTATAAGCTTGGAACAGAACAAGAAAGAAAATAGGCGTAATGATTTTGTTTACTATTTACTGTAACTGTAATAGCTCTGTATTACTTTGTGCAACAAAATAGAAACTGAGGAACGAGCTTAAGTACGAGACTGCTCAAAAAGTTAATGAAATTTTAACCAAAATAACGGTAAAGCTACTAAAGAGCAGAATCCAATTTGAATTGGCTGTTGATTTTTCCTAAAGTGGAGGATCACATAAGCGATTATAAAACGTCGAAATAACGTTTAGAACAAATCTCCATTAAATGTTGAGATTCAAACGTATTTTCGACAACTATTATATGTTTATAAAGCCTAGATGTGCCATAAATATTTTTCATTAAAAAAAAAAAAAGTCCTCGCGTTTCACATTTGTTGGCAGCTCTAAAAGTTCAAGTTTGCCGTTTGTACTATATAGTCTACATATGCTGCCTCGCTTGTCTAAAAGAACTAAATTTGCAGATTTAATTAACTAAAGTTCATTGATGGGTGAAGGAGGGGGAATCGCGCACCATTTGCACCAGCCTTGGATGTACAGTAGCTTGAAGTGATACATGAGGTCCTCTACTACTACTTCATCAATTTAAAAATGCTTGTAACATGTGTTGATATTTTATGCCTATTTTTTGATTTTTTTCATGCATAATGTTGTATGGCCAAAATCCAAAAAAAACTTTCTTTGTTTATCAATTAGATCTCTGAGAAACTTATTGATCGTTATTGAATTATATGCACACGCACTTTTTACATAAAAAGTTTTCCATTATGTGACAGCAATTTTAATAAAATCACCAGTCTTGTTAACGTTTAAGATGTTAGAAGCTTCAGGGTGATTAAGAAGAGCATTGTAAGCACTATCAGAAAAAAAACTTTTGCTTTCTGAGTCCATTATTTTGTATGTTTTTGATAACGAGGACAAAAGTCAAACAACAAAAAAGTTCCATTTGTAGTTAACCAAGCTTTTTCATAAAATGTTAGATTTAGATTTTATTCATATATAATTGCCTTTGCTTTAAGAAAGTATATACTAATCATTTAAATAAGTCTTCATAAAAACAAACAAACCTAAAAATTAGGAAAAAAGACATTTATATATTCATATATATAAATGTCTTTTTTCCTAATTAAAAAGACATTTATATATTCATATAAAAACTTTTATGATAGCAACAGTGGAATTATCATTTTCCAGTCTGCAATGACTCAATCACACTTAAACATCACTATGAAAAAGTATATCCATAAAACTGTTTAAGATACTATCGCATACTAACCTTTTTTAAAAGAATATGTGCTGACAAAAGATGACTAATCACGTTAAAAAAGATGATTAACCACGTTATAAAGGCCACTATTGGCTCAATATTGTGCAATATGTAATGAGTATAGTGGTTTATCCTCCTCCGGCGTATACCTTGCAGAGTCAACTCATTACCAAAACCCCTATACACGACAGCCTTATCATTTCGGAGCCCTCTGTCAATAATAATAGGCTAGGAAAAGAGATATCGGATAAAAAATTTAAGACGATAGCGTATAAAGTAGGAAGTGAGCGAGTTAGACAAAGACAACAGAGATATACAGGCAGACCGGTCATTTAAGAAACATAGCAGAGAAAACTCTCTTTCCTGTAAGGACTAAAAAGTTTCGGTATGTGTTTTTTCCGTGTACTATGTAATGTAGCGCATTTCGTATGTGTTTTTTTGTGTAATTTGTCATGTAATACATTAAATTCCGAAATGTGCAATGCATAATAGACTATGCCTGAAAAGTTTAAGTAATTTACGGTAAAAAAATACCTCAAGATTACTAGAAGTACATTAAATAAAAAAAAATTATGTTTAGAAAATATTTTTTTTGAAATTAGAAAAATTAAAATGTTTTTAAAGTTCAAAGCATTCTTTAGACATTCTATTCTTAACGTTTAATCAACGTATAACCAACTTATATATTAAAAGCTTGAAATGTTAATCCAAATCAACCGTCGATATTTAGCGAATAATTAGTTCACAAAATATCACAAAATAAACATTTCTGTTTGCTCAAATGTTACCATGCAAATAAAAAATTCTTTAGTTTTGTATAATAATTATATTAAACTAAAAAAATCTCAAAATTTATATACGCTATCATGATAAAATTTGAGGGTAATTGTCTCTTAATTTGTTGACAAAAAATTTATTACCAAACTTTTCATAAATTGTATTTTGAAATAAATCTGACTCTTTGGTAATATAATATTTGGTGTCTAGATATTAACCATTTTATTTAGTAAATTAAATTATTTTGCAGCACAACGTCAAAGTTATATTTTTCAAAAGATTAATATATAAAAAAATTTACTAAAGTTTAAATTTGGCGCTCTAGAACTGAACATAGCAAATAAATTCAAAATTCTGGCAGCAAAATGACTCCTCTAGCTGTTGCTTTAGTTGCCTAACTAAATTTTATTTTAATTAATTTTAATGCAGCTAAAATAAACTTTTTACAATTTTTTCATCTTCTACTAGCAATGGTTAACTACCAACTACTAACCTTCAAATGCGTTTTACAAAGATCAACTTGTTAGTAATATTTGAAAAAAGATTTTAAAAAAGAAAAAGGTCAAATGAGTTCTTATAAGTTTTAAGAGTTTTACTAAAAACGAAGACAAAACAGAAACGGCTAGAGCAACCATTAAAATACATTTAGGTGTTGAGTTTTCAATGCTTTTAAGAAATGAAACATTTTTGTTGATGCTAGATTTAAATATGATTAAGGCTGTTTTTCAACTACATAGAAATGCTGCAATTGTAAAATATTGCAACTTGAAATTATAATATGAAATAATTAAAATATTTGAACTACCAAACGGCATTTTCATTTAATATACCGAAATGTTTTTAATCATCAAGCAAATATTTTAAATTATATTCAATCTATCATTGAAAAGTGTGATCTGGAATCAATTCATTATAAAAATACATCTTTTCTTGTTTGTCTTTTTTTTTTTAAATTAGTAAATCTATTAAGATCTATTTTGCCAAAAAAGTTAACACAAAGTTACATACCTCAAACGCCAAAAAATGCTAGACCATCAGCAACGTGTGAGGGAAAAGCTAGCTCATTAAATTGCCACGTCCAAGGACGCTTGAAACGAGAATAAGAGTATTTGGCATGGTATACTTATATGTTCTAATATTTTGGAAGCACGTAGACGATAAAATTGTTAACATTATTTTCATGGCGGGTTCCATTTTAGCCAAAACGTTTTAACTCCTGAGGGTTTTGAAAACATTTTAGAAACAAAAAAACACACACGCACACACACAAACGTAACAAGACTATTAACAAGGAGGAAGACATATTTCAAAAAATATTTTAGGGAATCTTATATCTGTATTATCTGTATAAATATCAAAGAAAATCGCAAAATTTCATTACAAATATTTAAAAAATCAGTTTATTCATAAAAACTCGTAACATCTAAAAAATAAGTAAAATCTATGATTCAAATACATTTAAAAATAAGAAATCAAGGATAAAACCAAAGATTCCTTAACAAAAGCAAATTGTGTTGGTAATTCCATGCAATTTAAAAAACCAAGAGATTTTTAATAAATTGGTAAGAAAATCTAACCACATAAAATGTTTTGTAACACATAAAAAACTACTAAGAATCTCTAAATACAATAAAAGAATCTCTGGATATAATAAAAGAATCTCTAAATACAATAAAAGAATTTCTGGATATAATAAAAGATTTTAAATAAAGGAACTCTTAACTACTATTCTGTTATAAATTATTTCTCAATATATTATTAATTTTTATATTAATTTTACATATTAAAAAAAGTTGAAAAAAAAAGTAAAAATAAAATAAAAGCCTTTTACAAATTCATTCCCCGAAAAATCAGTGACTAATTGGCTGCCGCCGAGTGGCGCTAACAGAGTGAATGACTGCAGCCTTATCTAAAGATACTTTTTTGTTATTTTAATGTTTAAACATAAAAAAGTAAAACCAAAGCATGCTTTGATATATTCATTCAGGACTTGATGCTACCAATTCTTAACTAACTAATATTCATTTATTTGACGTAATATTAAAGCATAATTATTAAAACATTTAATGAGAAACAAAGCAAAATTATAAATAGATGTGTCTGCACAACTATATAGTTTTAATAAGTTTTCTAAAAATAGGAGAAGTATTTATTCTAGATCAAATAATAAATATAGTACAAGGGCTGTACAGTTAGATAGATTAAAAAAAAAAACACTATTTTTTTTATTTGAAAAAAATATCTGAAACTAAAATGGCGGATTAAGGTATAACCTCAAGTGTTTTCAATTATTCTACAGAACTAGATGTGTTTGAGGTGCAGAAGACACTTTTTATCATTTTATCACCTGTATTTTCCCTGCCCTTTCCATAAAAAACAATAGCACAAGCCCTGAAAAAAATATATCAAATTAAATCTTCATTGATTGATATTTTGGTGTATGGATTAAATATATTTGATGGTGGTCTCTCCTTAAAAATATCATATTCATCAAAAACAGACAATTCAGAGTTTTGATTTTGACTTTTAGAAGGATTCAGTATTTCAAACCGACTATCAAAAGATTTAGGAGCACCATCACAATTATCTTCTTTAGGAAAATTACAACTCTGAACAGATTGGAAATCTCCAAATTCAGATGTATCTGGTTCATCGCCATACTTCAACTTACAGTTTTGAAACATATCGCTTTTAACATTCAAAGAAGGACTTTCATTAATACTAAACGAATTAGCAGAGCAAGAATGAATGACTTCTACCATCAATGGAAAAGAACCATATTTAAAACTGTCAACACCTGAACATATTTCAAAGTATTTCATGCAATCTTGCACAATTTGATCAGCAGTTTTATCATTATTGCAAGAATAAACATCTACAAACAAATTGTTTGATGTTTTACTTACAAGAACCACAAGATGATCTTGTTTGCTATCTTTACTCACTGAGATTATTTCATTCACATTAAAACGTTTACTTTTATCATTTTTTTTGTTTTTTACCAAAACATTAATTCCATATTTATCAATCGTTAACTGTACTTTATTTGTATTTAGTATTGAACGCAACAGTGAAGAATTTTGAGAGTACAATTTTTCAACAACCAAACCAACTTGAGTTACTACCGATATCATTTCACTTCCAACATGGGTTACCTGGTAATTAAAGTTACCTACTTCAACCGATTCTTGTTCTTCTATAAAATCATCATCTATTGATGATGTTGCAAGTCTATTGTGGGAGTACTTTCCTATTGGCATTTCAGTATGCAGCAAACATAAACAAAGCTAAAAAAAAACAAAAATTATCAACTTCTGTAAATATGTAGATACTCATATATACTGTATGCACAATAATGCAACCAGAGGAGGAGCTTTTGGGAAACCAAATTTTTAAAAAGAAAAAAATTTAAAAAACAAAATGTTATTTGTGCAAACCCTTCCTCCCTATTTATATCTCTCTTCACCTCAAAAATTTGACTTGTTGCATATGTGATAACATATACAAAAATGTTTCATCATTGTTCCAACTCATCAAACTTAACTTTTGTTTTTGAGTGAAGTAGTTTGTACAATAAGAGTTACTGTATTTAATATTTTATTAAAATTTATTTTTTACATAAACAAGATATCACACAGAGGAAAAGACTTTGACTTGAAGTTTACATCAATATATATATATATATATATATATATATATATATATATATATATATATATATATATATATATATATATATATATATATATTAAGCTACATTTTATTGTCGCCGAAATGTCAAAGCAATTAAATTAATGTGGAAGTACATTAAATTTTATTGTTTTTTAAAAAAACCGCAATAATAATGACTAGAAAGTTTTTTTTAATTATTGGTGTTTTTGTTGTTGTTTTATTAAAATATATTTTTAAAACATGCACAGAGTGTAGCTACATCGACTATCTTATAGCCTGACTCACAACGGAGTGCTGTTACATCAACTGACAAATAGCCTGACTCACAAGGGAGTGCTGCTACATCGACTGACAAAATAGCCTGACTCGCAAAGGAGTGCTGCTACATTGACTGAGAGTTTGGTTTGGGCAGGCAGCCTATCAGCCTAAGAAAAAAAAAAAAAAAATACAAGTTTTTAAACTTTTTCTGGTCTGGTTTATTAATGCGCTCTTTAAAACTACAGTTTATTAGAAAAACTTTCTGTCTATCATGCAAGACTATATATATATATATATATATATATATATATATATATATATATATATATATATATATATATATATATATATATATATATTATATATATATATATATATATATATATATATATATATATATATATATATATATATATATATATATATATATATATATATATATATATATATATATATATATATATATATATATATATATATATATATATATATATATATATGAGCACAAGAGCGGAGAAAAGCTCTCTGAAAACGAACTTGGGGAGCTGTGCGAGCTGCTTCTCATTTAAATCGACGCTTATTTTTAATTCTTTTGTTTTGCTTGTGCTTTTTAAAAAACATTTCAGTATATTATGCAATTATTTTTTTTAAATGACATTGTATTTTTTACTTTATTTATAACAATAATTATACTTTCGTAAAAAAAAGTATACTTTTGCGAGAGCCGTAAATTGCTCCTGTAAACCGTTTTAGGGGAGTGTAGGCAAGAGCTAGAGAGCTCTCGCTTCTCGCTGAGGCCTATATATATATATATATATATATATATATATATATATATATATATATATATATATATATATATATATATATATATATATATATATATATATATATATATATATATATATATATATATATATATATATATATACTTATATGTTTGTATAACTAAATTCCACATAACAGAAAATTTAATTTTAAAAATAAAATAAAAAAAATTTAATTAAGCATAATGATAATGAATTAAAAAAACCATTATGAATAGAGCACAGGTAAAATAAAGACTTTAATAAATTTTAAATACAACAACATAATTTTTAAAAACCTTTTAAATAAATATTAACTATAGAAAATTCTCTCTTGTTAAAAATTAAAAGTATTATTATAACCTTTTTATATGGTATTATAAATATTTTTATATGGTCACAAAATACCAATAACAGGACATTCCAGGATAATTGTAAAAACTCAGGACATTCAAGGACTTTGGCCACCATGTGTATGGCACTTTAAACAATTATAGTTGCTTAATTCCTGCCAAATAAGTTGAAACAACATGGAGCTCTGCATATTTTAACATTTATCAGTTGCTGATGGTATCAGCTTCTTTGAGATCTGCCACAGAGTTCATAACTTTTACTATCAACAGCATCAGAACAACTAAATTGAGTTATAAAGCTGTACTCATATTAAGAGATAACAGGAAGAGCAGCACTAACAACTAAGGGAACACAAGTAAAAACTCATGAGTAGAGTCAAGAAGATCTTTTATCATGCTAAACAGGAAACAATGTAACAATGTTTCTATGCTAGCCTATAAAATAAAAATGGGGTATAAGGCTGGTCACCAGAAATATTTCCGCTTACCCTTAAAGTTAAAAAGGTTTTCTACAATTAAGTAGTTGAATCTTAACATATGCCCAAGATAAGCAATTTTAATGAGATACCTCCAACCTTTACTTAAATAATAGCTCATAGACAAGGGGTGTTTTCTAGCTTTTGTCAACAGAAACAAGTTATAAAAGGCAGCAGAGCATTTGGGGATTATAATGGATTACATGTTACCAGTAGCAGGATGATCAAGATGACTCAGATTCTGACCTATACTGAAATAATGTTGTTACTAATTTTTTATTCATCAGTTAATTAACTGGTACCAGGAGGAATTATGCAAGTATATAGCTTATTGCTTAGAGTGCACTATATATGATTGATTTAAGTTTTCTAATAATTTAAAACCTTTTAATACCTTAATGCTTTGTATAACCTTGTACTACCTTTAAACACTACAATTAAAAAACCATCGTTATTACCAAATTATTTTAATCTTTTACAAAAATTTATGGTTTTCGAAGTAACTTTTCATTTGTTAAAGTTTGCAAAACTTACTAAACCTAATAGGTTTTTTGTAAATCTCTTTAACCTAAAGATATTAGTGTTAAATGCTATTATACTTTTATTTTCGAAGCCTTCAATGCTTGGCCTAGACATATACTTAGGGGGCATCCATAGTGTACGTACATAGTAAAGCGGCTGATAAAGGACCTATTTCCCCTTGTAGGTTATACCTATCAGTCATATCTATATTGCATCAGTCATCTCCATAAGCATTCTTTATATAGTATATCAGGAATCATTTTATCCATCATGGACAACACTATCCTTTGTTTCCAGTAATTTCTAAGGTACTATAAGGCTCCATCCTTGTTCCTAAGTTGTTCCTTGTTTATTCTAGTGGCTATATTTTCTAATAGCACATCCACAAACTCCAGCCTTAAAAAATTAGTCTCCAAAAGTCATCAATTTTAGATCACTTAGAAAACGCAGCTGATCATGTCTATAAGCCATTGCAAAGTTAGCATCTTAAAACTGCCATTTTAACTGTAGCACTAAAATTGCTGTTGATAAACATTACTCTCCTTCATTTCCAGAAACTTCTAGGGTACCTCAAGGCTCCATCCATGGTCTGATGTTACAATTCATCAATATGATCAATATAATGATCTTTCTGCTAATCTTACTCAAAAATTATTTGCTGATGTCGCAGACATACTGTAGTCTTGAAAAGAAGTCATTACTTTTTGATTGCTTAGAACAAGCAGTTTATCTTGAACCTGATCTCTAAGCTTTCTGTGACAGTATGGGTCTGCAGTAACTGTTGAATATTAATTCAAACAAAAAAATTGTTTACTGCTAATAATCATTATCAGTAAAGAATATGGGAATATTAACAATATTGTTGATATTCTGATATTGTTAGCAACACTTTAACTGATTCCTTTATTTTTGTCTCCTTTGAATACTATTCACTGCAGACCTTTCATGGAAACAGTATATTCAATCCATAGCAAAATTAACTTCAGCTAATATTGATTCATTTTTTTCTCATGCTCAATATTTTCTTTTTCCTGATGTTAATCATGCTCATTATACATTTTTCCTGACTCCATTATTTACTTTTTTAAATCTCTTATTCATCCCTGAGTGGAATACTATAGTCATACTTGGGTTGGTTCTTTTAATGAGCTCTCTCTTAGGCAAGATCCAATTATCTATTGTAAATGATTATAAGCTTGATTTATTTATATGCTTTAGCAGCTAAAATTGATCCTAAGCCCCATTGTTATAAGGTTGCACCTCTTTCTTTTTTCTACAAATACTTCAATAGTCACTCAGTGGAACCTCTGTTTCTTACCCAGCTGCTCAGAGGGCAACTGAAGTATTGTATATATTATTATATGTCTGCTATGACATTCAGTAGTCAGATATTTTTAATTTTTTGAATATTTCTTCTCTGGTGAATACATCATTTAATGTATTCTCCCAAGAATACATTAAATGATGGTTTCTAGAGTAAAAAAACTGAAGAAAAAAATTAAAACGATTGACTACTAAAATACAATTAATAAAAATTGATGATTAGAAGATAATATGATTATACTCCTAATATAAAATATCATAATAAGAGTATAATCAAAATTTAATGTTTTTAATTTGTCAAAATTTAATGTTGTTAATTTATGTTACAAATTGTTAAAATCAAATAATAAAAGCAGTTAAAAAGGTTAAGTAATTTTAATTATATTTAGTTACAAAGAGATATTAGAACTTTAAATACAATAATGGTTTCATTTACGTAGAGCAAAAGAGTTTAAATAACTAAAATAAAGCTTTTTATGAAAAGAGCTTTTTTCTATTATTCTCAATTAATCTTCAACCAAATTTAAGTTTGTTGAATGACTAAAACAATATGTTTTTAAAGTCATTAAATTTATAAAGATTAATAAAAAAAAAAAAAAACTTCCTCATGCATCACTAATAATGCTTTTAATTATGATAATTTTGTTTGACAAAGTTAAAATAAAAGTTTATTTTAATAAATTTTTATATAAACTTTGAAAAAACAAAATGTTCAACATTATTAATGATTCACATGCGTATTCACATGATTCAAAACAAGATTATTAGGTTTAAAAAAAATGATACATTAGCATTTTGAATTGAAAGAAAATGTAATTTTAAAACTATTCAGTTTTTTAATTTTAAAACTATTCAGTTTTAAAATTACATTTTCTTTTAATATAAAATGCGAAAAGAAAACATGCTACATGTGAAACAACAACATTTTAAAAAACAGTATAGTTGCACTTTGAAACATTTTAAATTGTGTGCATGTCTAACTTAATTCCAGTCAGCTTTTATATATATATATATATATATATATATATATATATATATATATATATATATATATATATATATATATATATATATATATATATATATATATATATATATATATATATATATATATATATATATGTATATATCAGTGGTGTACACTGAACTTTAATATATATCAGTGGTGCACACTGGACAAATTTAAAATTTTATCCAATAATTTCTTAATTTTTGAAAATTATGACCATATAAAGTTTTAACCCCCCTAATTTGAGGGGGCTGTAAACTTTGTTTGATTCATAAAAACTAAAAACTAGGAGGTTATTGCATGAAAATTGAAATTTGTTGATGAATATAAACTTAGATAAAAATACTAAAGAAATTATTTTATCAACTTGTTGCTTCCACATTAAGGGCTGGGTGGGCCCGAAAATTGGGGTTTTATTGTCCTCAACCTCCAATCACCACAACTTTTTGCAAAACATTCTCATTTGACATAAGTATGAACATACAAAAGTTTGGAGTTTGCAAAATGCGTGTAAGTGTCAAAACTCAAACATCTAAAAATCCAGTTTACACCACTGATATATATATATATATATATTATATATATATATATATATATATATATATATATATATATATATATATATATATATATATATATATATATATATATATATATATATATATATATATATATATGTATAACTCAGCGAGTTATACATACATATACAGGCCCTCGGAGGGTTGTATATACATATACAGGCCCCCACTTACACTCTCCTAAAATGGTTTACGAGAGAAATTTACACCTCTTGCAAAAGTATATTTTTTCTCGCAAAAGTATTATTACAGTTGTAAATAAAATAAAAAATACAATGTCATTTTAAAAAATTAATTGCATAATATACTACAACGCTTTTTAAAAGGTACGAATGTTGTAAAAAAAAAAAAAAAATTTAAAAAGAGCGCCAATTTAAATGAGGAGCAGCTCGCACAGCTCCCCGAGTTTGGTTTAGGAAAGCTTTTCTCCACTCTCATGCTTATTTACTCCCGCCGAGGCCTGTATATACACATCTATATATATATATATATATATATATATATATATATATATATATATATATATATATATATATATATATATATATATATATATATATATATATATATATATATATATATATACATATATATATATATATATATATACATATATATATATATACATATATATTTATTTATATATATATATATATATATATATATATATATATATATATATATATATATATATATATATATATATATATATATATATATATATGTATATATCTTATACTGCTGAGTTAAGTGAGCATGATGATGTCATACTCACCTAATGTCAAATAGCCTGCTGCCGGGGGCTTCAGTACATACATCGACTGACAAGAAGCCTGACTCGCCGTGGAGTGCTGCTACATCGACTGAGGGTTTGGTATGGGTCAGCAACATTTTCATTCATTATTCTTCGTTTTCCCTCATCGTTTTCTAAAAACGCTCACTTAAATTAGGCTAGCAAAAAAAGTGAGCAATTGCGCATATAAATATGCTATAGTAGATATATATATATATATATATATATATATATATATATATATATATATATATATATATATATATATATATATATTTATATAGATATAGATATATATACACAATGATGGAATTTCCTAATATATTTTTTGAACTAAAATTCCTGAAATGTGTGCTTTAATTTAAAAAAAAAAAAAAAAAAGATTGCTGCCCCAGCTCAGACCCTCTGTCAATTTAGCAGCACTTCTTCAACGCGATTCCTATTCAGTCAGTCAATGTATGTACTGAAGCCAGTCTGCTCTCAATAATATATATATATATATATATATATATATATATATATATATATATATATATATATATATATATATATATATATATATATATACTTATTTCACAAAAAAGTAGAAACAGGTGGTCACTTTGGGTATATATGTGGGAAGTTGAACTAACAAGCTTTTGATTTTAAATTTTTAACACTCAGGATCTACACACTGCCATATAAAAACTGCAACATATATCTTAATGGTTTTCCTCTAATAGTTTGTGCATAAAAAATTTTGTTTGTGCACATTAATTAGTCTTAATAAATAAAAAAGAAAAAGAAAAAAAAACCTTCAAATCATTTGCACATTTATTCTTTCGAACATGTATACAAATGTAAACTCATTAATTTAATTTATGTTCTTCAATTTAGATTGGTTGCTAAAACAAAAGTAATTTTATTTCAAAAATAAAAAAGACAACAAGATTATATATGATTAAGATAATAATTGAGCTAACCTATAAATTTATAATTATATAGGTTTATTAATAACTTGAGCAACTAAAATTGAAAAATTTGAAAATGAAAATCAAATTTGAAAATGATATTGAATTACTAGCAATTATACTAACATAAAAATGGTGTTAATAAAATAACAACTCATAAAAAATATAAAGCATATAATAATTTGGAGAACTTATCGATGATTGCATAGCGAGATTTTCTCAAAGTTTATATCCAAATATACGATAAAAAATTTTGAAATTGTTATATAAATTTTTTTGAATTGGTTTAACAGTGTTTCAAACAATTTCAAAAAATTATGACAAAAGTTAAATAACAAAAACTAAGTTTTAGAATTACTATATATATATATATATATATATATATATATATATATATATATATATATATATATATATATATATATATATATATATATATATATATATATATATATATATATATATATATATATATATATATATATATATATATATGAATGCATGTATGTATGTATGTATGTATATGTATATATATATGTATGTATGTAAATATATATATATATATTTATAATGTATATATACATACATACATATATATATATACATACATATATACATACATACATATATATATATATATATATATATATATATATATATATATATTTATATATATATATATATTTACATACATACATATATATACATATATATACATACATACATACATACATGCATTCATACATACATACTTAAATACATACATACATATATATATATATATATATATATATACATACATACATACATACATACATACATACATACATACATACATACATACATACATACATACATACATACATACATACATACATACATACATACATACATACATACATACATATATACATTCATACATATAACACTTTAATTGCTTTTTAACTATAATTGATAACATATGATATAATAAAAAATAGTTAAATAGTATTTTTTTTTTTTTTTTCATCAATTGTAAATTTTTTCCTTCCACAAATAAATAAATAGTACCATTTTTTTTTTGTACAAAATTCTTATTCTAAAATGACGTTTCAAATGTATTTTGAATAAATTTTCGTTAAATATATTCCTGCAAATTATTACAAGTTAAAAATTATAAAAAGTTATACAAAAAAACTGATAGAACTACATATGACAATGTTCCAAATAATAAATGACTAACTCAGTATTATAAAAAATTTATCATAATCAAAAATACGTTTACTGGATTGGTTAAGGGGGTACGGTTTTAGAAAGTACGGGGGCAACAGTAGAAAAAAAAAACCTTCGCTAAGGAAGACTCAAAAATTTATTTTTTAATATAAAAAACGTACAAGTAATTAGATATTTTGAAATATAGTATTTTATAAGAGGTAAAAGCTTTTATAAATTAGAAATATTTATACTTGTAAGTTAGAAATACTTTAAAAACCTTCAATATATACATTTTTAAAAATAATAGCAAAAAAAAAATTTATTTATAATTTCATTTTAACAATATTTTTTTACCTAAATGCGTTGGTATGATTTATTTGTTTCTTAATCTGAAAAAATTGGGCAGCCATGAATACATTTTAACATAACATTACGCGAATACAAAATGTATTCGCGTAATATATAACATTGATTTTCTATTTCCTGAACAATATTTTTAATTGAATAATAAAAAACTAATAATAACAAATCTATTGAAACAAAACACGAAAACAAATTAAAAAGTCTCTTTAATCTAGTCTTACCCGTAAGTGGATTTTATAAACTTTGACCAAAAAACCTAAACTTAAAAAAACGATTTTTAAGGCTTAGGTTTTAGCTATTACGAGATTACTTAGGTTTTAGCTATTACTTAGGTTTTAGCTATTACTTAGCTATTACTTAGGTTTTAGCTATTACGAGAAGTTTTAGTAAAGTAATATAAATTATCGATTAAAGCAATAAACTGAAAGCACAATATTTGACACAGTCATGGTGGCATTAACCTTTTTCTCTTATAAATATTTTAAAAGATTTTGTACATATCATTGTACAAAATTAAGTTAGATGGAGTGCATATGATTTTTTTAAATTGAGCTCCTTGTAATAAGTAATTTGTTAGAACACCCCTGATACACGATTTTAACTATTAAGACAAAAAAAACGGCGCGCCGTATAACAAAATATTAATAAATTATAACACTTTTTTTAAATTTATTTATTAAAAACATTTTACCGAAGTTCCCGAATATAAATTTCGTTTTCAATAAAACTTTGAACTAAATAGTTAACCTAAATTAACTTAGGTTATCTACGCCGATACGGCGATGTCGTACTTTAAAAATATTTTGCTACTGCAAGGTAAAATGGAATGAGTATGTTTATCGCAATCGTGAGTTGAATTTTTATTGTCAGTCGAAAGCGACAAACAATAAACGCAAAGAAAATTTAAAAGTTACATGTTTTAAAATTCATTTACATTTTTAATATCAACTCAGTTGTTGCCAAAATGTTTTTGGTATTCATTTTGTATCATGTTTTAATTATTCAAAACTAAAAAATTATCAACTATAACGCAAAAATCAAAACTTTACAAATATCTCTTTAAAAACAAAAACAAATAAAGATTCGCTTCGTTTTAAGGATATATTTGAAAAGAAATATTTAGATTTTTTAAGAAAAGAAATATTTAGAATTTAAGTTAAACTTTTGTTTATAGTTTTGTAGTTTTTTAAAACAAGCTTATAAATTTACATCCTTTTATTAATATTTCTCTTAATATCACAATATTCGCTTATAGCAGTTGTCTCCTAAGGCAGAAGGTTGCGAGGCAACCATTTTAAAAATAAATAAGTTGATAAATTCCGCAATATGCCGTTACATCACTGTAGGCTCTTTTATTTTTTATTATTGTTAATTTTTTTTATTATTTATTTATTTATTTTGTCTGTTCAGGCTCTTATAATATTACAAATATGATCGCTAGGTAAAAAAATAAAAAAAAATATCTTATTCAAACTCAAATAAACAATTTTGCTAATAAAATATAATTGATACATCGCGTCATTAAAATAAAATTTATATAAAAGTCACATCCTAGTTTAGTTCAACGGCCGGTGTAGTATGAGGTTTTAAAATCTCATATTAAACTTTTTTTCCAATTACGCCTTTATAAGTTGTATGATTATTCTATACTGGGGCGGTTCTAGGATTTATTTCTCCTTTGGCGAAGTTTTTTTAATGTGAATGTAACCTTACCCCTCCCCAACCAGTCTCACAACCCCACCCCTTTCATGCACCACTACTGTCAGGTGCCAAAATAAATGCCCCCTATCAATTTATCAATTGTGAAATTTTCCGCATCTACACTAATTCATGTTTTCAAAAAATGTTCACTTCACTTATGACCTTCCTGCCTGTTTACTTTGCACACTAGAGTTTTATGACTGAGTCAAATTTTATTTTTATGTTTGTTAGAAACCTTTTATAAATTTGGATACTTATCTTTACTATAAAAAAATATCCATAAATTTAAATTGAATTGAAGTTACACCTATATCGCATTCTTAAAACCCAAAATTTTTATATTCAAATTAATTTTAAAATGATTCTTATAACCTGAATATTAACACTCTCTGAACACAAATAATAAAATAAAAAATTTCAGAGTTTCTTTTAATAATATAGTTTTTTATGAACCAAACGCTAAAAAGTTGTGGTGCCTAGGTAGGGCCAGCACTTGCAATTTATTTCTATAATTTGCAAGTGCAATATTTTTCATGTTTCTTGCAATTTATTTCTATAAATTGCAAGAAACATGAAAAATATTTCAAATTTGAAAATTTTTTTTTAATTATATACCTTTAGATGATGCAATCTTTAAAATGTTGTTAAAATTTTTACCAACCACTGCTAATTATAACATTAAATTTCTATTGTAATAAAATTATTAAAAAGCTATCATATATATATGTATATATATATATATATATATATATATATATATATATATATATATATATATATATATATATATATATATATACATATATATATATATATATATATATATATATATATATATATATATATATATATATATATATATATATATATATATATATATATGTATGTATAGATATATATACATATATATATATATATATATATATATATATATATATATATATATATATATATATATATATATATATATATATATATATATATATATATATATATATATGTATAGATATATATACATATATATATATATATATATATATATATATATATATATATATATATATATATATATATATATATATATATATATATATATATATATATATATATATATATATATATATATATATATATATATATATATATATATATATATATATATATATATATGATGATCTACCCATATAGGAAAATTGCTCTCCGACCATCCCAACCCGTTCCCGACTTCGTCAAAACGTCATAACTAACGTCATATAACGTTATAACGTCATATATAATCCGATAATCTTTTTTTTTAAAAAAAAGATTATTTTTTTTGTTTAAAGTTAATCTAGCGTTATAAAAAAATATATAAAAAAGCAAATGCTTTTTAATTTTATTCGTTATAAAAAATATGTAAAAAGCTTTTTTGTCAAAACATATTAATTGTCTTTTACAATATAAAAAAATGGTTAAAGTAAAAAAAATTGAGGAAAGTAAAAAAATAAAAGTCAAACGACAATTATTCGTTAAACCTGTAGCTGTAAGTTTATTGTTTTCTTTTTTATAAAATTTGTTTTGTATTTTTTTAAAAGTGGTTGTGTTTTTTTCTAGATTGTTAAACCCTATGTGCCCGAAAATGTTTACAAAGCACCTCAAATTTATGTCCCTCAAGTGGTTGAAACAAGACCACTTGAGGAAGCAGATGAGCGCTTGTATGAAGTCGAACTGGAAATCTTTGACGAAATTCCAGAAATACTTGTTTATCAAATTTATTTAACATTTTATATAATTTACAAATTATAAGATATCTATTATGCGCTAAATTGTTTTTTAATTTTAATTTTTCTTCAACTTCTTTTTTCGGATAACATTTTTTATGTATAGAATAACAAATATCTCCTATCTTTTTTAATTCAGCATCCAATCTTGCATTAGAAATAAATTTTTCAGAATAAATAATATCTCGTAACTCTTTCATTTCAAGATGCAATCTTGCAGTAGAAAAACTAAATTGTGATTACATATTTGACACGTAATTATTTGCAAAAACAACGTAATGTGTAGATTGTGTAGAAAAAAAATTCATAAAAGACGAGGAAAAGGAAGAGTTTATTTACCTCCGTTAAAAGGTGCCGGTAGAAGGAAACGAATACGCGGTAAATTTCTTCCGATATTAGGCGCTTTATTGGGTGGTAGTTTACTATCTTCTATAATACGTTAAAAAAACACTTGTTCAAAAAAAAATTATTTTTAAAATGCGTAAAAGACTAAGAGGAAAAAGACATAAAAAACGTTTAAAAAGACGTTACAAAAAACGAATGCGTGGAAAATTTTTAGGAGCAATAGGTGCAATTGCTTCAAAACTTTTACCAAGACTTTTACCTGTAATAGGAAGAGCCGCTTTAGGTGGCGCAGTTTCAGGAGGAATATCTTATGGGATTAATCAAGCTGGAAAATAAAAACATTTCTTTGTATCATTTTAATTTATTAAATATTGTATTACAACCGTATACATGCTCGTGTTTTAAATTAAATTTTTCGTAACTCTTATAATAATTAATAAAATTTTCCAAGCGTTTTAATAATACAACTAAACGTTTGTTATGTATATCAAATTTCCATATGATAAACGATTCCAAACTCGATTGTTTCTTTTTATAACCCGGAGTATCAATAACAATAATATAAAAATATTTTTTTCGTATTCATGTTAATATAAAACAAAATTCATAAAGTTCTTTTAAATTTGTAAAGTTTGTAATTTCTACAATACAATCTAACTTGTCCATCATTTCCTCGGTTGATTTATATTTTCTTTTGTCAGTATTATTTAATACTTCTCTACAAATCTTCTCCAATTTGTAAAGGTTCATATTCATTTATTTTGACTAATAGCACACAAACAATATATTGAAGTGTTCCAAAAATAAATAATAATATCATTAATAATGTCAGCAACGCAAATACCAAAACCATTAACAAAAAATTTGCAATCTTTCCAGAAACGAGTAACAACAATTTTGCTATCTTTCCCAATTTTGTATAATTATATAATTTTATTGCATTAAGTTTAACAAAGTTTCCAACACATTGAAAAAACTTGCATATTTGTATACCACTTTTTTTAATAAATTTTAAAACTTCCATTTAAAATGCAAAAAGAACTTCTATAATTGTAAAAACAAATATAATAACTTTAACGAACTTCCCAACTATGTACTTGATTACCATGTGAATCGCACATATACAGATTTGGTTTTGGTTTTTCTGAATTGTACGGTTTTACAACTGCAACAGGTTTTGGTTTATCGAACTGTTGTAATGGTTTGTTTTTTGATTCCATCTGTATAAAATTAAAAAGCATTTGCTTTTTTATATATTTT